GGTGTTAAGGGGACAGAAAAGTTTTCTTTTTATATATGAAAAAAAGTGTAGGAGTTTATTTTTTTTGTATATGTATAGGGTGAAAGGCATGACATGATTTTTAGGTGAGAGGCCTGACATGATGACATGCATAAAAGTTATTGAGATTTTTTTTCCCTTTTGAAGGCTTTATTGTATAGGTGTGTTCATTTTTTGCTGAATGGAACATTTTTGAAAATGTAAGATATAGCGTACAAATAATTTTGAAAATGTAAAGCTAAATTCTTTTACATGTTTTAAATGTGTTTTATATTTGCTGTATTTTAAATATGAATATTTCTTAATTACTTTGATTTTTTTTTTTTTCACCTGTATAACAGTGTCGTTAAGTTCTCAAAAAAGCGGGAGGAATAACATTAAATAAATTTTTTTAAAATTAACACTCACATATATTTTAGCTCAGATGTTTTGGAAAAAAAGTAAAAGAAAATAAACCACCAGTGAGAATTGAACTCACTACCCCTGGTTTACAAGACCAGTGCACGAACCCCTGAGCTATGGCGGCTCAAGTGAAATCGCTTTTCTTTTTTGATTAAAAATTGAATGATAAAACGATTTAGAGTTTAATTTTGATTAAAAAAAAACAATAACCTACACCACACCTACCAGGTTTCGAACCTGGGACATTCCTCGTGTTAGGCGGATGTGATAACTACTACACTATAGGTACTGATAACCGAAATAAATGAAGAAACTGATTAAACTGAAAAATATCTCTAATTGATAATAATTCCATTTAATTGCTACAAAATAAATTTATTTAGAAATTATAAAAAAATTATTATTTAAAAATTATGATAAAAAAGACCAATGAAATAAATGGGGAAACTAATTAAATTGAAAAATATCTCCAATTGATAATAAATCTCTAATTGACATATTTCCTCTCTTTTCCTACTTAAGATGGGGTCGCACCAAAAGGTCTGGAGAATTTCCTATTTTTGTTTTGGATTATACTTCTTTCTTTTTTTCTCACACTCCCTATATATATCTTGTTCAAATTTTCAATTACTTTTTATCCATTTACCCAAGTTCAAATACATTTTTTAACTTGTAGTGGATGACACTGGATGTTAATACAGTTTTTCAAATAGTAATTCAGTAAAAATTTACTGAATTAATTTTATTTTTAGATTTAAGTTGCATGTATCTACCAATAGATGGCGCCATATAAACATAAAAAAATGAATGAAAATTGTAAATAATTTTCATTCATTTTTTTTTTTATGACTGAACTTTAAGGACTTTCTGCAATAATTTTTATTTGATATCTTTATTATTTTCTGCAGTCTTTAAAAAAAATTTTTTTTTATATTACTTGTTTTCATGTTTAACGTTGTTAGGGATTCAAAGTTTGAAATTTGACTTTTTTAAAGTTTTTATAAAAGATAGGTGTTTAAGGAGACAGAAAAGTTTTATTTTTTATATATGAAAAAGTGTAGGAGTTTATTTTTTTGTATATGTATAGGGTGAAAGGCATGACATGATGGCATGCATAAAAGTTATCGAGATTTTTTTTTTTTTCTCTTTTCTGAAAACTTTATTTTATTGTATAGGCATGTTTATTTTTCTGGTTAACGGAACATTTTGAAAATGTAGATATTGAGGAAATAATTTTGAAAAAGTAAATCTAAAAATTCTTTTACATGTTTTAAATATGCTTAGATATTTTACATTTGCTGCATTTTAAACATGAATAATTCTTAATTACGGGGATTTCTTTATCCATATAACAGTGATAAGTTTCTATTAAATAAAGGAAGGGAATAACATTAGATAAATAAAAGGGAACATTCACATATTATATTTTAGCACAAATCTTTTGGGAAAAAAAAGTAAGCCACCAATGAGAATTGAACTCACGACCCCTGGTTTACAAGACCAGTGCTCTAACCCCTGAGCTATGGTGGCTACAATATGAGGGCAATTTTTTCTATTAAAAACTGAATGATAAAACTATTTAGAACATATGTTTCTACTTTTGATAATAAAAAAAAAAACACAGTGTTCCTACCAGGTTTCGAACCTGGAACCTTCCGTGTGTTAGGCGGATGTGATAACCACTACACCATAGGTAGGCACAAGGTGAGAAGAATTTTTATTGTACAAGTAGTTTTAGCAGTTTTATCGAAAACACTTCTCGTTTTTTAATGCGAAATTTACAACTCTATATAAAAATAAAAATAAAAATTTATAGTTATATATTTCTTTAAAGTAGGATAGCGAATATTATAAAAAATGTAATATTGCATAAACTTTGTTTTTTTCTATAGTAGAATTCAGCTCAAATTCATACCATATTCTTAATTGTGCTAATTCATACCATAAATAATAATAAGAAGAATACAATTAAAAAATAAATGTGCGTTCAATGTTATTTTTATTAAGAGAACAAAAATATTACAAATGAATATTTCGTAATGTTTTCTGTTCCTTCACCAGTTTAACCACTCACTAAAACAATCTAAATTCCAATGTTTTAAATTTTTTTTTTTTTAAAAATTAAAAATTTAAAAGATTATTATTTATTTATAAGATATTATTTATAAGATTTGATTATTTCAAATATTTAATATTTTTATAAGATTCTTATTTTTTTTATAAGATTTGAAATCTATGTTTTAATTTTTTTGACATTCCATCAGGAATTATTTAGAGTTAGAAAATAATTAAAAAAATAGATAGATAAAAAATTAAAAAAAAAATTTAATATTTCTAATAGAAAAGTTCCAATAACAATCCTACATTGCCAAAATTTTTTATCCTATATAAGAATATATGTTATTTATTAATGAGAATTTTTTATTTAAATGTATGCATATAATATTTCACGAATAACAGAGATTTAAGACATTTAGTGTAACAAGCACGTTCAAATGGAAAAAAAAAAACGTTTAAGATGGCGGTTGTATTTGGATTGGTATTTGTATAACTTTTTATTATCTTAAGATATTTTCTACTTCTCAAAATATGCCGTAGCAATGTTTCAAACAGCGCTGAGGAGTTGGCTAAAATATTTCCTATTTCTGAATCGTATTTTTTTGATACTGACTGTTTACCGAAAAATTTATAAAGTACGATATTTATCATTGGGTTTAGTAAATGTGGGAAATAGATTTAATGACTTTTTTTTTTTTTTTTTGCCGATATAGTATTACATTGGTAAAAAAAAGGTTTTACATTAAAGAAATTATTATTTTTAATTATTATTATTATTATTTTCCATTTTAAAGGTGTAATTTTTAAAGTTATCCTTAAACATTTCTGACAAAAGATCTTAATCCTTTTCAAAAGAATCAAATCTTCTTCTTTTCCTACATTTTCTGACAAAAGATCTATATCCTATGCAAGTAACTATATTAAATTAACGGACAACCATAAGCGTTACGGAATAGTCGAGAATAAGTTAAAATAATTGTGCATTTCAATCACAAAGATACTGTATTCGTAATGCAATAAATCATATTTGTTCTTCATAATAGAATAACTTCTATAAGAACTTTCACTGTGGATATTTTTATGGGCTTCAGTTCTGAGAAAATCGTGAGTTCAATTCTCACCGGTGGCTTGTTTTCTTTAAGTAATATGTGATAAATAATTTATGCGAAATAATTGTTTTATTTATTGCGAAAGAGTTATTTAATTATTTTTCTTAGAAAATATTTAAAGATATGTAGTAATTATTAAAAATAATTGGATCGCTTCTGCGTATTTTACAATAGATTAAAATAGTATAATAAATATGTTCGAAGAAAAATTATATCGCGAAGTGTAATAAATATTTTAAAATTGGAAGAAAGAAATCTGATTGCTAATGATAATAATAAATTGGGTGGGCGTTAATATTAATAAATAATACAGATATTTTTACCACATTTTTCTATTCACTAGCTGAATTCTACTTTAGAAAAAAGAGCGAGGTTTATGTATTACTACATTTTCTATAATATTCACTATCAATTTTAAAGAATATATAACTAGATATTTTTCTTCTTATTTTGATACAGAATCATAAATTTTGCATTAAAAAAAAAATGAGAAAAGTGTTTTTTTCCAATAACTGTGTTAAAACTAGAATAGTAATAAAACTTTTTCTCTGGATGCAAGTACCTATGGTGTAGTGGTTATCACATCCGCCTAACACGCGGAAGGTCCCAGGTTCGAAACCTGGTAGGTACAGTGGGAGTTTTTTTTTTTTAAATCAAAATTATAAATCATTTATCAGTAAAAAATTCTAAATCATTTTGTGATTTAATTTTAAATAAAAAAATATATATAGCAGCACCGTGCGAGCCACCATAGCTCAGGGGTTAGAGCACTGGTCTTGTAAACCAGGGGTCGTGAGTTCAATTCTCACTGGTGGCTTATTTTTGGCTAAAAGTTTGTGCTAAGATGATAATGGGTGCGTTCCTTTATTTTATTTTTTTTTTTTATCTATTAAAGTTAATCTCCTTTTTTCTTTTTTAAATGCCTATTTAAGTACCAACAAATATCTTTTGAAAGATATTTGTAGTTTTTCTAAGGATATACAAATTAGAAACGATTCCTTTCATTTAATTGTAGGCATTTACTATAATATAACTGCAAAAACACTATTAAACAACGATCACGTACAAATTGAGAGAATTACCTGTTATTATTTGAAGAAGAAAAAAAAAAAAAAGAAGTTGAACATGTTTTTCACTTAGCGCTAGCAAAAATATAGCTATTAGTCTTTTTTAAGATCTTTTAAATGACTCGTTGCAAATATTCGTTGATTGTCATTCTCTTCCCACAAATTTCACACGCAATCAAATTGTTTTTGTTGTTGTTGTTGAAGTAATGGAGAATTGATTTACGTTTCATTATAGTGTTTCTAGTTTTTATTTATTCAATAGTGTGTTTTTTCCTTTCAATACCTCTTTTTTTTTTTTTTTAATATTTTATTACCGAAAAAATTTTCTTTCTAAATTTAATATTTGCTGTTCTCGTTAGATCACCGAAGTCAAGCATCATTGGGCGCGGTCAGTACTTGGGCGGGTGTCCACCTGGGAACACCGCGTGCCGTTGGCATTCACAAATTTGGGACCTGAATGGTTTGAGTGTCTGGCGCTCGGTGCCACATGTTTCGGGTTCGAATCCCGGCGGTGACATGGATGCTTGTAGTGGTTCGGAATCCACTTTAAGCCGTAGGTCCCGGTCTCCTATGACCGTAAGAGCGTCACGGAGCCAAAGTCAGACTTCTACCTACGGGTGCTCCATCACAACAAAAGCTGCTTCCTTCCCCTTCAATCATGAGTACGTATGGGCTCGTGGGCTTGGCCAGCCAAGTGAGATAAGAAACAACAACAACAATATTTGCTGTGATTAAAAATAATAGATGGAAAGGATTGCCTATTTTTTGTTTTGAAATTCCGAGAAAATTTTGAAATGAAGAAACAAACTCTTAAAAATATATTTTTGCAAAGAAAGAGTAACGTAATATGTGTGTAAATATGCGCTCTGCTATTCACAATTCTTCGTATAATTTGTCAGTGAGTGGTATTAACAATTAAAATGAACTTGGAGGAGTGCTATTTAAAATTTAACGCACAGTTCTATTTTTCGAGAAAAAAAAATTGTTTTTCAAACAAATTATTAAATACTTAATTCCTGTTAATAAGTTACTGCCAATTTAAGAGACAATGGAGTAGAGAAAAAAAGATAAAAATGCATATTTCTTAAAAAGCACAAAATTGGAAATAAAAAGGATTCGGTTAGGTATTTTTAGAAAGATGCGACTCAAAAAGTATCTCTGGTAGTAAGTTTCTTGCAAAGATTCTTTATTAAAGGAGAAAAATATCAAATGTTTATATAAATATTTTTTTATTGATTAAAAGTAATTAATCTGTTTATAAATAATGAATTATTTTAAAAAAAGTGTTATAAGTAGAAAACGAACAAATGCGTCGTTAGCTAAAATTCTATTTTATTCGAATACTAAAAATCTGTTATATATTAAAAAAAGATTATTTGTTTATAAACTAAACAATAATGATAAATAAACATTTCATATTATTGAAACGATACATCTGTCACAGAACCCGCATCGGGAAAAAAAAAAATTGCATACTAAAAACTAAATAACTGTTTCATCTAAGTTAGACAATTATATTATCTTATATTTCACTTTTTAAAATCAAATAATTTCAGTCGTCAAAAGAAAATAATAATAAAAATGTATTGTGAAAATAAAAATGGTGCATTAAAGAGATTTTTTTTTTTTTTTTAACATCGCCACATTTTAATATGTTATAGCAATCGCATATCTCAGCTTGTCGAAGAGAGAGTAAAAAAATAAAAAAAATTATTAGCTTGTCGAAACAACTTTTCTTTTCCATAATAACTGGTTTTAACAACTGTATATTCAGCCAGTTAGTATTAGTAGGCTATTCATTTTGTCAGTACCTATGGTGTAGTGGTTATCACATCCGCCTAACACGCGGAAGGTCCCAGGTTCGAAACCTGGTAGGTACAGTCGTTGGGTTTTTACTTTTTTTTTTTCATACGATACTTTTTACAATATTTCATGTGTTACAACTCTTTGTTCTTTTTTATATTAAGATTAAAATCATTAATGTTACTTTACTTAAAAATAGATTCACTGTTAGAGGGGAATACTTGTAAAAAAGAATGTTAAAATTTGTATTTTTTTTTTTTATATTAGTTTTATTTAAATACATTAAGATCAGCGCAAATGTCAAATTGAGAATGACTGTTTAAATTAAATTAAATATATTAAATAAAAAAATTCAAATTCATTCTGTTTCATTATAATGGATTTGATTACCTCGAAGAATAACTCTGGCTGATAATAATCCAATTAAGCTTGAAGTCGCGTATTTATAGCCCAGATGGATATTATTATTTTTTTCTTAAATGACATTTATTATCTCCTACACATGTACATGTTTTTATGATTAAAAATATCTTTCATAGACATAAATTCGTTAAGAATTTGATTTGCTCTAAAAAAGTTTGTTTTTCTATATTACGTACGTTTTTTGAAATGACAGCCATTAAACAAAATCAAATTACATTCCTAATAAATTAAATTTTTTTTAAATGATATTGTACAAAATAATTGGAGTGAATATTTGAAAGAAATGTGATAAGATTGAAATTTTTTTTTATTGGTTTTTATTTAAACATATTAAGATCAGTGCAAAGGTCAAATGACGAATGACTGCTTAAATTACCTTAAATATTTTAAATAAAAAAATGAAAAGTGTAAAAGTTTCTTTTCATTATTGGATGAATAGATTTCATTTGCAGTAAAAGAATATCGTTGTTGATAATAATTCAATTAAGTTTGGTAGGTATAGTTCAAATGGTTATTATATATTTTTTTACATAAATGATATGTATTGTCTCCTATACATGTCCAATTTTTTATGATTAAAAAATATTTTTCATAGTAATGAATTCGCTAATGATTGGATTTTCTCTAACAATTTTTTAATACATCCTTTTTTAAATGATATTCATATTCTTCTGCAGATGTGAAAAATAAATTTTAAATGATCAAAAATGAATTCTCACCTAAATACATTCGCTATCGATTTAATTGCTGTAACGAGTTTTAATTGGTTTTATTTAAATATAATAATTTTATTAATTTAATTATATAAAATGTACTTTTTAAAATGATATTCATTTTCTTCTGCAGATGTACGAAATAAATCTATAATTTTTGACAGAAGAAAATACTTTACTTTACTTAAATATTTTACCTACTTTTATAATACTTATTACTTTACAATAATTTATATAATTATTACTTTATAATACTTATACTTTATAATATTATACTTATTTTAATATTACTTTAAACATTTAAAATAAAAAAAACCTGGTTCGAAACCTGGTAGGTACATGTGCGCTTTTTTTTTTTTTTTTTTTTTTATCTTTTCATTTTTAAAAAATCTTTCAAAAGACAATGACATTTTGCTGTGATATTTGCTAAATATTTTTCACGTGTGAAAAGCAAATATTAAAATTTATTTTTGAAACTGAAGGTAATGATCTCCTTTCATGTGGTAAGTGTATTTTTTTATATAATGTACTTGCAGTTAGCGCAAATACCTAAGATGAAGTAGAAGCAATTGTGTCTCATTGGTAGGATCTCTTAGGAAACTATCCAACATCTTTCGAAATTGTCTTGAAAAATCTCTAAAAAATGGGAAAAAAAATAACATAATTTTTTATTGCCAACTTAGCAAAGATTTTCGAAGAAGAAAATAAAGAGAAAAGCCACCAGTGCTAATCGCATTTACGACTCTGGTTTATAACTTCATATGATGGCTCCTTAAACATCAAGCTTTTTTCATACAAAAATTTTGGATTATTTTGTACAACTGCAGAACAAAATGAATATCATTTTTAAAAAGTACATCATACATTTAAATTAATAACATTAACGCATTTAAATGAAACCAATATAAAACAACTAAAACTCATCTCAGCAAATCAATTCGATAGCGAATGTATTTATGCGAGATTTCATTTCGATTAATCACAAATCATTTTGTACATTTGCAGGAGGAAACGAATATCATTTTTTTTTAAAAAATTTACATTAAAAAAGGGAAAAAAAAAAACTTGTTGCAGCAAATCATTAGCAATTTATTTATATGAAAGATATTTTTAATCATAAAAAAGTGCACATGTATAGGTGAAAATAAATTTCATTTAAGAAATAAATAATAATAATAATAATGCCCATCTGGATTATAACTGCCCGGCTTCAAACTTAATTGGATTATTATCCATCGAAGTTATTCTTCGAGGCAATAAAATACATCCATCAATAATAAAGTGGAATTATGAATTTAATTTAATTTTATTTTAAATGTTTAAAGTAATATTAAAATATGTAAAGTATAAGTATATAAAAAGTAATAAGTATTATATTAATTATTGTAAAGTAATAAGTATTATATAAATTATTTGTAAAGTAATAAGTATTATATAAATTATTTAAGAAAGTAATAAGTATTATATAAATTATAGCTTTACAATAATTAATATACTTATTACTTTATAATACTTATACTTTTTACATATTTTAAAAAATATTTAAATTATTATTAATTATTTAAGTAAAGTAAAGTATTTTCTTCTGTCAAAAATTATAGATTTATTTCGTACATCTGCAGAAGAAATGAATATCATTTTAAAAGTACATTTTATATAATTAAATTAATAAAATTATTATATTTAAATAAAACCAATTAAAACTCGTTACAGCAAATTAAATCGATAGCGAATGTGTATTTAGGTGAGAATTCATTTTGATCATTTAAAATTTATTTTTCACATCTGCAGAAGAATATGAATATCATTTAAGGATGTGTCGTGATTAGAAAATCAATCGTCTGGAGATCATCCACTATAATGTTTTTAATCATAAAAATTGGTTTCACTGAGGCAGCCACCATGTTTACCCATGTAAAAATGCCAACCATTTGGTGCTGCCTGGCTT